TATAAAGGCAGACCACCTGTACAGCAAGGGAATAATAGCACAGGTATCACAAAGCATTTATAGCATTAAGGGGTAGTGGCCAACACCACTTCTAGTGCAGTTGGACACCAGCTCTGCACGTCAAAACAAGAGTAACAGAGAGGTCCGGGCCTGATTTAATTGTTTACCACCGACTTTAGCAATGAGAGGGTTCTCTGGGGGACCAGGTTCATAGCACGACCCACCAATCAGGTGGCATTACAAAAACACAGCTGAACAAAAAGGAGCCAATGTAAAATGCGGTTTTCCCAAACATGAACGCAACAAGTGTTGGCCACGACAAATCTCCTATAATATACCAAGACTCAAGCAGACCAGTGGGAAAGCACATCAATGGCTGCGGTACCGTGGCAAGTGGCGTCATTTGTAGCACGGAATCAAAAGGTCTCAGGGATCTTGTTCAAGCATACATACATGGCGCATTCTACACTGCAGCTATGTATCGAATGCCCCGGAGACTGGGCAACTCAAGAAAGCAGACAAACCTGTATGCAGCCAAGGGGCTGTAGGTGCAAGCTTTATTAACGGTCGTTGGAGATGTAGCAACATCTGCAACCTTCAGCTGGCAGAAGATGAAAACCTGGACAGAGGAAGATGGGTTTACTCAACCACTGTCTACCAGTTGCTAAAGGGTTTTAATCCTGTAAAAACCTGCATGACAGTACATCACCTGATCGCCATTGTTGGTCAACGTCGCAAGGAAGCGGAAGGAATCTATGAAGAAGCGAAGGATGTTGTCACTTTGCCGGAGCAGGAAGCCAGAAGTAAGGTGAGTATCATACGAGACTTTGCCATCCACCAGACACCTGCACAGACACCGTAGACGTATGGACACGTGGCTTTACATAGGGCAGGCTAGCACTTTAGGATCGTGTATAATACTTTAACCCAGACTGTACCAAGTCCACCGCTGCAAAAGTAGGGGCGTTTACACACACCCACCCATTGTAAAATCAAAGCAGAGTCAATGACGCACATTGACTGCATCCGTCAGTGGACAGATCATGAGGAAAAGCATTAACCATGCATCTGGCCCTGCTCAGGGGCACATACTGCGAAGAATGCCACCTATAAAGGACCAGAAACATTCATTATGTGCGATTAGGAGAAATCTCACCCAGAGTTAGAAATTAATTGGTAGCCGAGGGGAGAGTTCCTGTCCGGAACCGGGGTTGCAAAGCAGCCGACCACGAAGATCCGGAGTGGAACGTGGTTCAGTGTCTGCACGCTCGCCTCGACATGCAGAGTCTGGCCCAGCTGGTATACGGTGGAAGGTCGCGCCACACTCCAGTCGTCTTCATAAAAAAAACAATTAGACAACTTCAAAACACAATTGCCAAGGCCGAGTGCAGACTAAAAGCGCAGCCAGGAACGTGCTTGCTCACGCCACTGCTTGTGGAAGAATTTCAGATAAAGTTTAGGGACTACGGGCACATCTGGCCTATTCTTCAATACCAAGCAAACATCTTGAAGGTGTTTATAGTCCAAACTGCCATCCTGATAGCAGCCATGTGCATAACAGGCAATCAACGTCCTCACATCACCACTGACCGGTCATGAGCCTCAGCGTGAAGCTCAGCTGCTGCTGCATAACCTTGGCGCTGCTGAAGGGAATCCATGTGGGTTTGATGGCATTGCTGGACACGTTCCCCTTCCTGCAGTGAGGAAAGATCAGGCACATTCTCTACAACGAGTAGAGGTGAGTGATGCTCAACAGCACTAATTGTGAACGGATTCTTAGTTCCATGGTGTTAATAGCTTACAAGGCAACTATACAGGACAACTATAAATTGGAGTAAATTTAACGCAGTGCAAGACATGGATCAGACGAGAAACAAACAAATAAGATTCCAAGTCACTTGTTCAATGAATGCTATGCAATGGAGGCACGTGATAGGCGGGTGCCGTGCACGAAGAGACATTTCGATAAAGCACTGTAAATTTTACAGTTAAACCTCGCAAAACAGGTTTGACGCAGGCCACGACAAACAGGCGCTTGATGTGAACCGTTCAGTAAAGTTGGCTCCAACAACCCCCACGACGCATAGGGATACTTTCCAGCAGTGGATTCACTTGATGTCATTTAGCTGCAGTGCAATACAGACATTGCAAAGCTCAAGAACACGCAACTGCATTAAGTTATAAAAGACACCGGTAGAATTGCAAGCCGTTCAGCTGGACTTCAATATTAGCCAATTTCAACGATACTGGTGAACTCGCCTGGGATAGCGGCAAACGACCGGCACGGCGACGTAGTTTGTGCGGATAATGCCCGTGTTGGACGTGGGGCGGTAGTAGAGGTAGTTTCGTAAGACAGCAGCTCTGCACTCATCTAGGAGAGGATAACGCGGGGCCGATTACCTACGGTATAAGTGGAGTTCAAAATAAACGCAAGCACCTTTAAAAGACCCAAAGCACAACATTTTCTATGAAGCATATGGCCCACCCTAAACTGCATCTGCACAAAATACGGCAGATACAGATTTCCGATGCCCAAATGGAAAATTAAAAGTGGCCCAATGTGCGACTGTGGCCATCCGGAAGACTATAAAATGATGCAATGCCCGATCCACAAATACAAAAGTGGAGATCACAACGATGTTACACGCGGCTGCTCCCGACGCAGTGGTCTGGCTCGAGCACCAGAACGCAAAATTGTAGTCTTTGCGCTGCAACTTCATCAACCATATGAACGATAAGTGGAAAAGTAGTGTATATACTTTAGAGTGGTCAATAAAGTATTGCAGGGATACACAACGCAAAAAAAGGAATGCGCAGATTATATTGCAGCAGCATTCGCAGCGAGTTACCTGGAGGCTGCTGCCACAGCTTTCCAGTGCGTAGAGGAACGTCACCGTCCCAGCAAGGGCGTCGCTCCCAGTGACGGGGCAGGCTGGCACTCCCAGGGACAGGTCACCCTCCTGGGCCAGGTGACCCGTGCCGAACAGGTCCCTGCTCACGGTCAGCGTGAGCGTCGCCTCGTCACACACCACACTCACCGTGGCGGAGGCGGCCACTGCGGCTGGCGATGCCACACGGGACGAGACGCGAGAGTTAACAATACAGCATGAGGCAGTCGTCCTCGATAACAAGTTGCATCCGAGGCACTGTTCACCATCACTACGCGGCTACTTGCACAAAAAAAAGGATAGTGGAACTTTTGGATACGAATAGAAACACGACCAGAACTTGAATTAGTGCCCAGCTATTCAGAAGTGAAGTAACCACCCTGCCCGCTTTACCAAACCCCTCATTACGTACCCAATGTGATCACGTCCTTTAACACTGTAGAAGCATGACAAAACAATATGAATAATTTAACTTCGTACCAAACAACTCCACTCACCAGAGGCAAGACACAGGCACCCCAAGACCGCAAACAAAGCCCTCGTGGTCTCCATCGCAAGGGCAGCAACAACCGAGATTTGGCACGGCACCAGACGACACCACTCGGTGACTGCCCGACTCGGGACTTTTATCCGCGCGCGGGTCATTCCGTTTCAAGTCATGAACCAATTAACTCCTCCTGCCCACGTGCCTCGTAATTGCGATGCAGCTCCTATCCATGCACAAGTGCCGAGTGCCACCGATTAATTATTAGCGGGTGGTGAAGGTTCACACCAAGGCCGTAAGTAAAATGTCCCCCCCAATATATTGCTATAAAAAAAATGATTGCTATGCTATGTAAATAAAAAAAATTGCAAAACCTTGGCCATAATATCTGGACTTGTCTTCATATAAATCAATGCATTATGGTTATGGTTGTACTTTATTAATCCCTAATCTCTGCCATTACATACAATGAAACACGAAATGGTAAAAAAGTAAAAACAGAGCAATGTAATACAATACACTATTAGACATTATTGTAAAAAATAAATAAAAAGTCCATCCCATGTGTTAGTGAATTGTTAAATTTTTAGGCAGGAAATGAGTTTTCAAATTTAGATATTTTTCTGGGTTGGGACCCCCAGACACCCTGGAAGATTTGGTCCCCCCCAATGTTGACTCCATGGCTACTGCCTTGGTTCACACCATCCCAACCCTACCCATATTCTGATCTTTGGGGACTGATCTCATCGAATCTACTTGGGTTTCACGATCAGTATCTTATTGTGATTGTTGTGAATCGACTCCAAGACACCGTGGTAAAGATCCACAAAATCACATCGGAACCTACATTCACGTGAAATCCCATACGCGTAGAAACTCATGTAACCGCACAGAGATGTATAGACTTGCAAAGAGACCAATACTGTACGTATAGACTCCAATATCCACGCATAGGCCCATATACATGCACACTCATTCGTTCAAATGGCGAACCAGAGACGTAGACAATGAGCCAATCTATACTGATTAGACAATGAACGGATGGATCTGCTCTGATAAAATCTGACTGATGAAACAATGAGTTGATGGATCTGATCTGATGAAATCTCGCTGATGAGACAATGAGTGCGTGGATGTGATTCAATCTGGATCGGGATCGCTTAGGGCTCCCCTATAAGGTAGGGGACGCGGCCAATGAGTAATTTCGCGATGGCGAGATCGTCTGCTGCTCCTGATCAGGTTGTGACGATGAGGAGCTTGTGTGAAGCGGTGTTTGGGGCTGTTCCTCAACAGCGCTGGTTAATGAAGACTTTGTTGTACGAGTGACCGTTATACAGAAACGCATTGAGCTAAAAGTGCAGCCCTGATGTCTTCCTCGTACCACTGCTGATGGAAAGGCCTCAACGAAGGGGGAGCTTGAGGATGTTTGGCCTCCTTGTTAGGAATACGAAGCGTGACCTGTAACGTGCACTAACGACACGTAGACGAGAAACTCCACGAATGGGAAGGCAGCGGCCATACAGTGATCTGGTGATGACCAACAGCTGACCAATCGTTTGAGTACGATGCCGAGTTGCATTTATAAAGCTCTTGGACTAATGATTCTGATTTTAAATACGAACTGATGTGATTGACATTGCTAGCAGGTGACCAAAGGTGGCTTTGCTTGGTTCTGTTAACACCAACCACCTCGTGCACGGTGCTGGCCACCATGGGGGATGGGGGGGAATGGTTTACTCGCTTTCCCCCTCCTTCTCTGGTCTTGGTGGTCACGTGTCTTGTGGTTTGCCCGCAGCTGCCTCTGCCTGGGACCCCGTCCTGGCGAGGCTCTGCCAGTCGCTGGGACCGCGGAACCTGGGGGAGCCGAGCGGTAGAGGGCGCTGCTGCAGCCACATCGCGCATTCTCTCTATCAATACCACCACGTGTGTACGGACGCTGCCGTGCGCACAAATAGAATGGCGGCTTCTATGCGAAGTTGAAAATCGTTTCCGCCTGCATGAGTTGCCCACAAGAGCGCTGCCTGGACGAGGTGGGGCGACTTTGTTGTGCGCCTGGCGCATCAGCCGTCACTTGATGGCTGCTGGCCACGCGGGCAGTGCGGGGGGGGGGGGGGGGCTACTTAATAATATAATAATCGAGCGAATGGGGCTTTGGGAGACCTTATGAACTCTTAAGCGTGTCTCTCTTACTTTAATACATCTTGCAAAAAATATGGATCGCGGCTGATGAGCACGGCTCTACTGCAGCTTTAATTATATATTACGTGAGTGCACAACTGCATGAATTATAATTAAGTAACTTGTCAACATTTATGACTGCACACTTACTGTAACTCAAGTGGCAAAATCTTCATTGCCTTTTTCACTTCTATTTAGTAACGTTTTGTGCACTTTTAATTTCACAATTTGCATAACAATATGTAACTTGGCACCTTTCCTCTGCAATTCAAGAATCCATTGCATGGGTCTGCAACCAAAATGTCCAGCACCATGTTTCAAATTTGGTACAAACAAACTTTCGAACCACAATGCATGTGAAAAACATCACGAAGGAGTCCTGAAAAAGCATTGTGTGGCTTGGGAGCCGCAGGTTGCCGGCCCCTGGTGTAATGTTAATACTGTCGCGTGTCTTTGAATTGGCGCCGAATTAGTATTGCGCAACATCTGGTAGACGTGTGGACAGAAAATTGAATAGACTGATGGGTGCCCACACAACAACCAGCACGGACGGATTCGGATGGCTCCATTAGCTGTAGTTGAATTGTCAATTGAATAACTGCCTCCCCCAGGGCTGCTGAAGCAGTGCCGCGCCTCCACTCTGGGTTTCTGTGGGATGGAACATTGTGGTGCCACAACTGCGGAGCAACTCTGTGCCACGATTTCCTCCCGGCCCCCGCACTAAACGCACACCCGCACGCAGCGCACCCACGTAGTGTCCTGACGGGGATTGCCTGGCACATCGGGTTTTAATCCGAAGGGCCCCTAGAGGGAGTCCCACGGTTTCCCGGTGCCAGGAGATTGGCTGACCCTCGCAGGACAGATTGCGATGCTCCTAAAATTGGCTTAAGATCGTATGGGTGCAAAAGGTTCCCCTGGGCGAATTGCAATGCGTTACCCACAGGATTGGGGAGATGGACAGAGGGCAGAATATTAAGCAAGCAAAAGTGCAAGAGCCCTTTCAGACAATGGGCAACAAGGGACAATGGGTGGCTGGCGCTGCCGCCGTGGCACTCCAGGAAGGACGTGGTAACAAAGGGGCGGTAACCACAGGTCGGCGCACTATTGGTTGCGTGGGATGAACGCTATCCCGGCCTTTTGAAGTGAGGGGATTAGGCCACGGTAAAAAGGAGGGCACAGGTAAGCTCATGATTGGCTTTGTGGTATGACGTCACCCTGTGCCTTTTTGAAGTTTAGAGAATAAAAAGGGGGGCCCCGGACGATTTTCGGTCACTTGGCTTCAACCTGTCAAGACCCTCTCCCTGCCGTCCTGTCTCTTTGAGCCGCTCGCAGCACCCGTGTGCCAGCAAGTGCTGCTGCGAGACAGTGATGGGTCAAGTCTTCCCTCGTCCTCCTCCCTCCAACTCTCTCAGCGTCCATGGGATGCCGCGAGTCCAGCTTCGAGGCACGTGGTAGGACGTTTGAGTGACTGGATTCATAGGCAGAGTTGGGCTAGGCTCTCCTCGCAAAATATTCCACCTCCAGGTAGTGTGTATTTGTGTCGTTAATAAACTTTAGTTCAGAGTATCGGTGGAGTGTGATTTCTGTGTGTGGGTAGAACCTCGGCGTTGTGTCTGCAATTTGTGTGTGTGGTGCGAATGCGCGGGGAGACGGTGTGCGCGAAAGAGCGAGCTTGGGGCTGCAGCGTCGGTGCTGTGTTGGTTATTTCTGCGTGTGAGGCGCGCTTGTATTAAAACATACATGATCGCCGGCGCTTGCGCATTTACACAACGTGTTTACACAGCGATAGCATTAATGGCGAGGCGCGCGCACAATTTCGCGCCACAGGTTAGAGCTTAACCACCCGGTGGGTACGCGTGCATATTCATATTGTGCCGTTTCTTTTGATTAGCGCCGGTCTTTGTGTAAAACACGCGTGTGCAAGCCACGGCGTTTTTTGTGGTGGCGGATGTGTGGGAGAACCCCGGGCGGTGGCTCGCAATCCATACATTCTGCAATCACGTGCCAACTGACGTTGTCAATGGCGAGAATCAAAATGGATTTTGTCCTGCAATATTTACCCCTCCATACTAGTGTAATGTAGCACTCCGAGACTGTCTTGCTTAAGTTAGATATCTTTATTATATATTAGTCACCTGACTGACATGTTATCAGGTGGATGCAGGTTGACTATATACAACTGGTTGACTATGTAGCTGCTACACGACGTTCACTATATAGCTGACTGACTATATAGGAGTCGTCTGTAGTAGCCACGGTGAAGAGAGATGTAGTGGATTAACGCCCGCCAAGGGGGGAAATTGTAAACACGTGTGGGTTATGGACAGTGGGGTCCATCAGGACAAGCAGGTGTTGCTGGGGGATAACGGCCGGAGAGAGACGGCTCGTTGGGTAATTATGGGATGTAGGGCGGTGATTGGCCGGTTGCAGGGACAAGGTGGCGCCAGCAAGTCTGGGGATGGGAGCAGGTGTGGCGGGGGCAGCGGGCACGGGGCATCGGGGGGGACGCCGGTTAATTAATTGGAAATTCATGAGGACAGGATAAATACGTGAGTGTGAGACGGGGAGTTGTGCTGGGAGCTAGACGGAGACAGTCGGAGCAGAAGAAGAAGAATAGGTTAGCAGTAGACAAAGAAGAATAGGGGAGCAGTGGTGCAGGAGATGACAGAAGAGATGAAGAATAGGTTAGCAGTGGAATGGGAACAGAAGACAGGAGAGAAAGCGACAGTTGGAGTGAGACAGTCGAAGCAGATAGGAGAGTCGGGGAGAGAGACAGAGAGAGGGAGGGAACGGAGCGAGCGAGGCCAGCGCAGCGAGCAGAGAACGCGCTGAAATCTTGGTTGTGGAATGTGCTGAGTTTGCTAAAATAAAGTGACGACAGAAAAAGAAGTTGTCTGCGTAAAGTTCAGCACAACATGTATATCGCCCGTCCCAGCCTTCCAGGAATGAGGGTGATCCACTGCGATGACAGTGACGATGGTCT